AGCCCGATGTGGGGCTCGATCCCAGGACCCTGGGATCATGACCTGAGCCGAAGGCAGACGCTTAACGACTGAGCCACCCAGGCGCCCCTGATTTTGACTATTTTAACTACAGAAATAAAATCCCACATGGAACCCCTCCTGCCCTCTGCTGCTTCCCTAACGCCCATCCCACCTTTCCTCTCCCCGGGCCCTGCACATCACGGCCACCAGCCTGTCGCCTCCTGGGGGGCTGTATGGGGCAAGTGACATCCTTCGTTAGTACACATTTACGACTTGACTTGGAATATTTTTAGGCTCCTGACTTTTAAGAGCCTTGTGTGGGCTGTCCGTGCCTCTTGCTATGAGCTTGAAAAATGTTCCAAGTGTATGAGTAGTTGTCTGAATGCACTTGAATTATTAGGTCCCTTTTCGTTAAATGACTTCCTTCCAAGGGCAGGACACACTTAGTAATTTAAACAGACGCCAGGAAAAATTGACCAGACTTGAAAATGGGCACAACAGGTTACTGGGTGTCTTTCAGTGGCGAGTTGGGGGTTAACTAGGGGGACTTTCCCCGATTATCTGCCTCGGTTGGGTGGGCACCCCTGACTGACTCCGACTGATTAAGGTCATTTTACTGTTGTTCTGCAGGCGAATGAGATACAACTGATTTCCACCCTGTAAAAAGACAACCCCAAACCATATATTTCATTGTCCTATAGGATACTGTTTTTGCATTTCTCTGCAAATTCGTTTCCGTTTATCTATCTTTCAAATTCTTCTCTGAATGAGTCTTAACATTTTACTGGTTCCCCCGTTAGTTAATGAGGTAAATAAAACCTCTGATACATGCTTATTTTATATCTGTTTGTGTCATGATTTTAACTGTTTGAAAATTATACTTTATCATGCCCATAGTGATTTCTACTCTCCTTAGTAGGACATGGCCTGCTGTCTCTGCAGGTCTTTTAAATACTACTCTAAGACCCCCCCAGTCTGGAGTATGTAATTGACTACTCGATCCATAAATTACCAGAAAGATGGTGAGACTTGTCTAAGAACTTAAATGAATGGCTGGTTGAGAGAAATCAGGTGGTGATCAATCGGTCACTGGGCCTTGTGGGTCACCATGGCAGCAACAGGAAAAGAAACTCCCGATCTGGGGGCTTCATCAGCCACTGGAAGAAAAGCCCCTGACAATGGAGTGTGTATGGTTCCACCACTATTATCTGCTGCTCACAAGGACCTGGAGGTGCACAGGGCAGCAGGGGTCATGCCTGCGTGCTAACCGCCCATCAGAGATGGCCCCGGGAGGCGGGGACCCATGCAAAAACCACGCAAAACAGGCACTGCTGGCCTCTTACCTGGGATTGGTTAGGTTGTAGCAGGATTTCCATATTTGTAACATGTGCTTACAAGTGAGGAGCGCCTCATCCGGGCCCCGGCAGAGTGACTCCAACTTCACTTTGGAAAACAGTAGTCTATGATGGGGAGACAAAGGGAGAAAAAAACACAGCTCAAGCCAGAGAGTCCCCACCAGAACCACCCATGGGGCCTGGCTTAGACCCGGAAGCGACGGCACTCATTCTAGAATGGGGTGGGCAAAGGCTTGATCCGAGGGAAGCAGGGGCAGCAAGGGCCAAAGGTTCCAGAACTCCCAGTTCAATATATGGCTTTGTAGATTGAAGGCAAATGCAGGTGCACCCAATGTGACCATTTGTGATTAGGTTAAATGCATCAGAGTGGCTAATTTTGTTGAGAACGCAGGAATTTTATTAAGAGCTTGCTTTTTAAAACAAAACCAATTTATTTGCAAAACTTCAAAAATTCATTAAAAGCAAATCTTGATTTATTTACAGATTTACACAGGAGACGTGACTCAGTTGATATAAATGATCTACAAATCCCCTTCCACCAAGATCCTCATCATGTGAAGGTGAATAAGTCTTGTGAGCTTTGAAAAGGCACATAAAGAAGAGGGCATCTGGTCAGGCTCTCTCCTCAGATCTTCCCAGCCCCGCTACTGAAGGGCTAGGACTTCACCAGCTCACTCCATAATCACCAACTATTCCTTTCTTATTTTTGTTACCACCAATGGCTTTACCCTCTGCCCAGACCTTCTGTGAGCTAAGCTTAGACCCTTCTCTCTTTCTCGGCCTCTTGGTTATCCCATTTCCAAAGTCTACTTACGCCTTCCTGAAGACATCAGCTCCCCTAGTCCCTGAGCTCATTAGTACTATCCTTGTGAAGCCCCAGCATGAGCCCAGATACCTTTCTGGTGGTCTTCCTGTTCCCCCAAGTTGCCCAGCTCTAAGAAACTCTTTATGAAGATCTCTAAAATCATTTTCAGTCCAAGCTCAAGAAACTACAGTGATTCCCTACTGCTTGTAATAATAAGTCAAAATTCCTTATTGAGTCCTCGAAGGCACCCTGCCCACTGGCCACTCCTGTTTCGCCACCCCATTCTGTGCCATGAATCCCTCTGGACCCTTCACTCCTACCAATATAATTTATTGGCCAAAGGCCAGGTTTCTTTCCTAAGTCTATGAATATACATGCCGTGTCCTCAGTTTTATTTTTTTTTAAGATTTTATTTATTTATTTGACAGAGAGACACAGCGAGTGAGGGAACACAAGCAGGGGGAGTGGGAGAGGGAGAAGCAGGCTTCCCGCCGAGCAGAGAGCCTGACATGGGGCTCGATCCCAGGACCCTGGGATCATGACCTGAGCCGAAGGCAGACGCTTAACGACTGAGCCACCCAGGTGCCCCGTGTCCTCAGTTTTAATCTGTATGAATCTACTGCTCTCCTTAATTCTTCCTAAATTCTAAACCCAGCTACAACCCCACCTCCTCAAACAATACCATGCTTACGTCTCTGTCTATTCTACTCTCTATCACATTAGCTGGTATTTGCTGTTAATGATAATACAGAGAAGAAAGAAATGGGGGAAGCTCCTGTCTATTAAAGACCTTCTCTGTGCCAGGCTCTGTGTTTGGCACTCCACAAACACAACCAAGGTGATCTTTGTAATAACCCTTCTTGGTGTGTGGTATTTATCCCCCTTCCATAAAAGAACATCAACCTCTCATTTCCACAGTGCCTAGGATTGCGCTCTGCGGCCACACTGGCTCATTGACTAGTTTCTCTACAAACCACAGAAGACTAAGAAATGTATTTCCAGTAACAAGAGAATTCCTCAACCATGCATGATGTAATGGCCTCATTTGAAGGCATTTTGGAGGAAGAAAGTCTCTTTTTTCTCAGTGGGAGAGGGAAAGGGGGTGGTCCAAATGCATCACTGCCCAAGCTCTGCAATGGTTTAGTACCACCCCCTCCCTCCAAATGGAACACAAGATGCCCAAGGGGCTGCTGGGGGCTCTTGGAGGGTTCGGGGTTGCAGCCTCCTTGAGCATGGGTCTGCGGACAGGGATGTAGCCTCTGATCTACAAGCAGGTGGGATAAAGGGTGAGGCCAAATGTGAGAACAGGGCTCGACATCTGCTCAAGAACATTTCAAGAAGTGGAAGTTCCCTGAGGTGTTTCTCAGGAGCCAGGTGCCAACTCTTGCTGATGTCTTCACCAGTCCAGAAAGTGATGGGAGCCTTTTTCCACCAGAATCTCCCACCAAACTTGGGTCAACTGGGAGATGCGTTACAAAGGGTCACCTTTTAGCATTTGGAAGAGACCTATTCAGACGCCAGAGACCCTCCTGGGTCTGGCTGCCAAGCAATTTTGGCCAAGGGAGACCCCACCTAGGACCGTGGTGATGTTCTCCGGGAGGCACGCTGAGCTCTTCTGGCTTAGCCAAGCTTGGAGCTTGCCCGCCCTGGGGAGGGGTGAGGCCGTGGGGAAGGCTGCCCTGCATGCGGTGGCAGTGTGGCTCCACCTGTCCAGTTGTCCCTTAACCGCACCCAAACTACAAAACGCCAGAGCTCGTCTCTAGGCCTCAACTTGGGGGCACGGTTGCATGCAAGGCTTCTTGGCTGGAAAAAGAACTTCTAATTAACATGAAATAACAGCCTTCAAACACTTGACTCAGGATGTGGAGTTGAAAAGGTGTGGGCTGAATTTAAGAGAACCAGACAGGAAGAACAATAGTAGAAGTGCTGAGCACGGGCGCCTGGGTGGCTCAGTTGGTTGGGCGACTGCCTTCGGCTCAGGTCATGATCCTGGAGTCCCGGGATCGAGTCCCGCATCGGGCTCCCTGCTCAGCGGGGAGCCTGCTTCTCCCTCTGAGCCTCCCCACTCTCATGTACTCTCTCTCTCTCTCTCTCATTCTCGCTCTCTCAAGTGAATAAATAAATCTTTAAAAAAAAGAAGTGCTGAGCACAAATGATGGGAAAGGCACCTGGAAGTGAAGCAGGAGGAACAGCATGAGAGAGACAAGCAGAGAGAAGGAGCTAGAAAACACGGGCAGGGCAGCAAAAGCAAAGCCTGGCCACTGCTGTCGGGTATGTCCCAGACGATGGGCAGAACGCCCTGACACACCGAACCCTGGTTTTCCCTCGGACGCACAAATACAAGCAGGAGAAGAGGAACCGCCGCGGACAGACTGCTCCTTCTCACCACGTCCCCAGTCCTCGGCTTGGCTACGGGCAGAGAACAATCCCGAAAACAGGACAAGTGCTGTTTGTCATCATATTTGCCGAACCCTGCTCACACATTTCAAGACTGTTCGAAAACATCTGGCTCGGTGTATGCTGCATTAGCACAGAAATGAAGAGAATGCAAACAATGCCTGGCATTGGTGTGCTGCAGCGGATGGCCAAAGATATTAGAGATTCAACCTACTGAGGAAACCCTGAGGACAAAATGAGAAGTCATGAAAAAGGGGGCGCCTGGGTGGCTCAGTTGGTGAAGCGTCTGCCTTCGGCTCAGGTCCTGATCTCAGGGTCCTGGGATTGAGCCCCGCATCGGGCTCCCAGCTCAGCAGGGGGTCTGCTTCTCCCTCTCCCGCTGCCCCTCCCCACCGCTCCTGCGCTCTCCCTCTCTCTCAAATAAATAAATAAAATCTTAAAAAAAAAAAAAAGTCATGACAAAGCCTGGGACAAACCAACATCAACTACATTCCTGCATGCAGAACTGCCAACCTGGCAGAGCAGAAGGAAGGGACCACAGGCTGAGATGTCTGCCGGCCACATTAGCCGAGTCCCACTGTGAATTAAGTAAGGTGCTTCTCTTGGTAAGAAGTCACATGCTGGGAAACTGGTCTATTCCTACCCCCTACATCTGGCTAATTACAATAATTTTGGTTCAGGGACTCACTGAAACAGGAAATTAATGAAGAAGAGAAGCAGCTTGCTGATAGGTGAATCTGACTATGTTTACTGATAGCCCAAATCTAGCATCTCACACAATGCTGTTCCTGACCTGGCTCCTGCCCAAATGCTTAGCCTCGGTCTGCTCACTGCCATCGTGTACATCTCTCATTCTAGCCATGATCGACTTCTCCATGTCACTCTCCTTCATGAGCCCAGGCCTTTGCACATGCTATTATTCTTTCTGTCTGGAATGCCTTTTCCATCCATTTCTGCTTTTTTAGCATCTACTCATCTTTCAGGTCAAAGAGCTCCTCCTCCCCCCAACCCCCCACCACAGTAAAGCCAACCTTAGGTACTAGGAGCTAAAGCTCCCAAATGGAAATGCAATTCCAGAAAATACGAAAATACGAGAGCTCTCAACTGCAGAATAATAAGCAACAGGCCAGGAAACTTCTGCTTTCAAGACAAGCAAAATAAGAACAAGAGCTGCTGCCAGATACGTTAAATATTTACCCACTGATTCTTACACCGACCGTGCAGGTTAGGTTGAGAGTAATTTGCCCGAGTTCACACTGCCAGTCACGGGTAGACCAGAACTGCAAACCCAGATCCACTGAACAACAAACACAGGAGAGTGACCTAAAATATTCTAACCGCACTCCTGACATTAATGAGGACAGACAGCATTTTCTAATCCATTGCCAAATACTTAAGACCCTATGATGTGCAAAGACCTGTTACTGTGTGGGTTAAAAGTGGGTATAAAATATAGTCCCTTGCCCTCAAAGAACTTAGAGTCCAAGCAGAAGAAAAGATCTGGCCATGAACATGAGGCAGGATTCCCGGTTTAGGGACAGATTATGGCCCTGGAACCCGAGTGGGGCCACAGGAAGATGGGGGTTGCGCTTCTGGGGGATTGTTCCTAGGATACACCACATGTGCTTCTTCAAAAAACGATCCCATCGACCTGTGCCTTTTGTGACTTGCTTCTTTCACCCCAAAGTCCGGTGCGTGTAAAATTCTAGTCATTTGAAGGACTCAGTTAATCAAGGTTTTACTTTCCATTAAACCCAAGAGAAATGATATTTTACCCTATTTTTGGAATTTCTTACGACTCCCAAGATACCTCTTGAAATAAGCCCAGCTGCGTTTGGCTTGGTGTAGAATTTAGAAAGAAGGTCCACGCCCTGGGACATGTGGCATTGACTTGTCCTCGGCA